CGCAAAACTAGTCGATCGCTCTCTATGTTCGTGGCGCTGAAGGACTTCAGCGCAGGAGGAGACGTCTTGATCGAGTCCGGTGAACCATTCTTCGCTACGCACGGGAGGAGGTCGTTCGGAACGTGGATTAAAGGAAGGTGATACTTCGACATTTTGTAGCGGTACGTCATGTTTGATGATCTGCTCCCAAAAAGCAAAAAACCGGGATTGGAACTCTGGGTTATTTTCCAATTTAGAGTGTGCATCCGAGGGATTCAATCCTCCAAGTAACCATAGAATATGGTGACCATGGAGGTTACCTCGACCGGTGCACTCGGCTTTACCATAATGGGCCAGAATGTGGCCGAAAATGCCGCCTTTCGACTCTCCAGTCTCCATGTCATAGCCAAGTAGATGTTTAAAGAACATGCGCATGCTGAAGACAAAGAAGTCAGCTGCTGCAACAGGATTGTCGGCGAGTCGTTTGGCCTTCTCTGTGGGAAAAGGCAATTTGGGGAAACGAGAGGAAAGGTCTAATTTCTCATCTCCAACCATGACGTGAAAGATGGGGGAGTCGAGAGTAGGATAGTTCATGGTTAAAAAGATATGAGGCGTCCCAAAGAGACCAAAGTACGCGAACATAGACGAGCGATCGACTAGTTTTGCGGCAGGTGAGCCTGGGATATGACCCGTAACGATGTTCAGCTGCTTGAGGCAGTCATAAGCTTTGCGCTGTTCGGGGGTCAAAGTGGCAATCGAGCCATTGTCTCTAAGGTGCTTTGCAGTCGATTCCAACGTGGCTGATGAAACGGAAGCCATGTCTTTAGCCACCTTAGAGAAACCAGGTTTGTTAACAGTAAACGATGTGAAGAGGTGCGCTCGACGTCTCTTGATGATATTGAGTACGACGAACATGAAGAGGCGATGGTGTTTGAAAGCCGGATGATATAGACTGAGGAGGTAATTGGAATGTTCTTGAAATGAAATAGGTATGGGACGAATTTCTTCCAAACCAGCACCACCATAAGGAAATAAAGTCGGAAACATGCCGGGCAACAAGGAGGGATTGTCGTATTCTTTCACATACTCTGTCCCTCGTTTCAGCACAAGATCTGGTTCCGCCTGGCCAGTAGAATTAACGAGGTTACTAAGTGCTGTTGCTGTTGCCGCATGACCAGAGTAAGAGGTGCCATCAAAGTCGACGATACCTGTGCTCTCAATGATGGAGTCATCATTCGAATTGGAACCGTCTGAAGAGGTCTTCTGAATGGTCTCGCTACTGGTGTCGGCTTCAGCATGTTTACATGCTACGATGGCAGGGTGGTCGTCAAACGACGCAGTCTCTTCTGCCAGGATGGGCGAGTCCTCCGGGACGGGAGTAAAGATTACTGATTCTGCCAGAGAAGGGAGTAATCCATCCTCCGGGTATTGATTCAACGTATCATAACATATGGGTACATCAGCATATAAAGGGTTATTTTCGGCTAGGAAGTTCAAGAATCGCTGAATAACGCGACGACGAACACGGAACATACGAGGAAGTTTATTAGAATTATAAACAGTTCCTACAAAAACAACGGTGAGATTACCATTTACGTCCGCAGGTGTTCGGGGCAGTCGAAGAGCGGTCGAAGCAACATTAGCCGGATACGCACAGGTGTTGCCCACAAGGCGATAGGGAACGGTGTCGCCCTTTGAGCCATTGAACAACCGAGCAACATCAGCGTAGACACGGTGAAGAGCGCAGACCTTCTCTTCAATCCAGGTGATATCCTGGAGGTCGTCTGGGAGACGACCACGATAGAGGTCATTTCGTAGAGAAAACTTAGGAATCTTTGACGAGGAAAGAGCAGTTTCACAATCTGTACAGAACTTAAGTGACAAAGAACGAGTGGTTAATGAAACTTCAACATACGCGTGGTAAAGCATAATACCGTCCAAGACGGGTGACAGGTCCGAGAAGGGCGCAATGAAATCCTTTAGATAGCGTTGAGAGCGCAAAGTGTTCAACGGATGATCGTCCGACAAACGGCGGAGGTTAAAAGAGAAACGAAAGGACTCGTGTAGTTCGTCTT